AAGGCTACGGTATTCGCGGGGCAAGCCTGCTACGGCGTGGAAACACGCCATCCGGTAAGCCTGTCGTCCACTTGATCGATGCGTACTGCAAGTCTCATCGCTTGCAGGTCGGCTCCAGCTAGTCAGCAGAAACACCAGCAGCAGCCCACGACCTGGAGGACTGCTATCCTACGATCGTAACTCCGCATGAACTCCATGCAGGGCCACTGACCCACTGACATGGCCTGAGCATTAAGGTCACTTCGACCGTAGATGCTGAAGATGTTTCTAGTCTTTCTCAAGCACAGACATGCAGAGGCCGACTGAGTGTACTCTTTTGGGACACAGCAGTTGGATACGACCGATGATGGAGCCAGGAATCGTGCATGGTATCCAGTGGTGTGACACTCGCGACATGACCGCGGACGGCCACACAAAGGGGAGCATTGACAGAGATATGCTCCTCAGGTCATGGGGGGCAAGCAACCCTTCAAGCATGACTTCAAACGTCATGCTCCTTCTCGGGCTGGCCTGACAGCGTCGTCTGAGGCCGCCTGAGGAGTCATCATTTGCACTGCAATGTGCTCGCAAGGCAACTTGCTTGCGGGCTCGCCTTCCTTACGAAACCGCCTTTTGCTGCCTTTTGTGTAGATAGTGTTTGCTGTATAGGGGGCGGCGGACTCACGCTTCGTCTCCCTTCCCCCCCCGACTCTACAGTGAGTTGGGACAATGGCGAGAGATAGCGGTCGTTTGTCCGCGGCCGTTTGTGTTCAAGCGGCCGGCCGCCAACATCTGATTGCGCCTCATTGCGAGGCATACTAGTTGCCATCGAGACCGAAAACATCCTTCGCTTGAGATGGCCCGTCGCTCCCGCGACGACCTCTTCCGACTGGGACTATCGTTACTACGGCACAACGGAGCTGGAGCTGCGCTTTGCCTAAGGCGAAGCTTCTGGACGGGCCTTCCGGCCCCCTTCAAACTCAGGCACCCTTGTGACAAGCCAAAGGGGGGTGGCGGATCGAAGACGCCTACGGCGAATCACCGCCGCCCCCTGCCTTTTTGGAAGCACTTGCGTTGCCAAAAGTTGGGTTTGAGCTTGGTCAAGCTATCGGGCCACGAATTCCCCGAGTGGGTTTCGACAGCTTTCGGGGAACACCGAGTCGGGCGAGCTATCGGACCAGGTGGTTTCCGAGGTTTCGGGCCTCCTGGAGAACGTCTTGGAAGGGTCTTGGGCCGTCTTGGAGGCCTCTTGCGGGCCTTCTGGGTAGTCTTATAGGCCATATTGAGGCCATCTGGGGCCGTCTTGGGTGCATCTTGGGGCCATCTTCGCTGTCTTTGAGGCCTCTTGGAGGCCATCTTCGGCGTCTTCGGGGCCATCTTGGGCCGTCTTGGGGGCCTCTTGGGGCCCTCTCGGGAGCCCCTTGGGTTGTCATGGGGCATATTAGAGGCCTCTTGGGCGCTCTTGGGTGGATGTTGGGGGCCGCTTGGGTCGTTTTGGGCCGTCGGAGAGCTGAAAAGAAGGAAATGCCCAAATCCTTCAAACACCTTAGGAAAATCAATGTTTTGAACCCTGTCGGGCCTTCCTGGAGAACGTGTTGGAGGGCTCTTGGGCCGTCTTTGAGGCCTCTTGCGGGCCTATAGGGCCGTCTTAGGCCATCTTGAGGACATTTTGGGCCGTCTTGGGTGCATCTTGGGGCCATCTTAGCCGTCTTGGAGGCCATCTGGGCTGCCTTGGAAGCATTTTGGAGGCCATCTTGGCAGTCTTGGAGGCCATCTTGGCCGTCTTGGGGGCCTCTTGGGCAGTTTTGGGGCCTTCTTGGGACCCTCTTGGGGGCCTCGTGGGCTGTCATGGGGCCATCTTGGAGACCTCTTGGGCGCTCTTGGGTCGATGTTGGGGGCCGCTTGGGCCGTCTTGGACCGCCGGAGAGCTGAAAAGGAGCAAAGGCCAAAATCTTTCAAACACCTGAAGGAAATCAATGATTTTAACCTTGTCGTGCCTTCCTGGAGGACGTGTTGGAGGTCGCTTGGGCCGTCTTGGAGGCATCTTGCGGGCCTTTTGGGCAGTCTGATAGGCCATCTTTAGGCAATCTCGGGCCGTCTCGGGTGCATCTTGGGGCCATCTTGGCCGTCTTGGAGGCCATCTTGGCCGTCGTGGAGTCTTAGCAGTCTTGGAGGCCATCTGGGGCTTCTTTGGGGCCTCTTGGGCCGTCTCGGGGCCTTCTTGGGGCCGTCTTGGGGGCCTCTTGGGCAGTCCTGAGGCCGTCTTGGAGGCTTATGGCCTCTTGGGCAGTCTTGGGCTGTCGGAGGGCAGAAAAGGAGCACATCCGAAAACCCTTCAAAAAACATCTAAGGAAATCAATGAGATTGACCTCTTCGGGCCGTCCTTGAGGACCCTGGAGGACCTCTTCGAGGCCTCTTGGGCCGTCTTGGAGACCACCTTACAATCATCTTGGGCCGTCTTGGGGGCTGCTTGGACGAACTTGAAGGCATCTTGGACTCTTGGGCCGTCTTGGAGGACAACTTGGACCATCTTGGGCCGTCTTAGAGGCCATCTTGAAGCGTCTTGGTTTTTCCCGGAAAGGGCGGGGGCCCAGGGTTCTCTTTTAGTAGGTAAACCTGTCCCCCGGTGCCAACTTGAAGGAGGCCGGCGGATTTTTTCCCTGATAAATATCGAGGTCGAAGGAGGCCGGCGGATTAAAATTTGAGGATGTCTCGAGCGAAACGCTTGTTTTTGAAATCCCGATCGATAAATCACAGGGTGCGGGCCACTTTTTTCGTGTGTTGAGGATGTCTCGAGCGAAACGCTTGCTCCGCAGAGTTTGCCGAGGATGTCTCGAGCGAAACGCTTGTTTTGCAGAGCCGACCGCGACGCGGAAAAGCGCCCCGCGCGAAGGAATTTCGATGATGTCTCGACTAATTCGTTTGTTTTTGTACGATTTCCTGGAATTTTGGCAGGATGTCTCGAGCGAAATGCACGACCCCACCCTAGCACGACCATACCCCAGCACGACCACACCCCAGCACGACCAGACCCCAGCACGACCCCACCCCAGCACGACCCCACCCCAGCACGACCATACCCCAGCACGACCACACCCCAGCACGACCCGACCCCAGCACGACCCTACCCCAGCAAGACCACACCCCAGCACGACCACACCCCAGCACGACCTCGACCACACCCCATCACGACCACGCCCCAGCACGACCACGCCCCAGCACGACCACGCCCCAGCACGACCACCCCCCAGCACGACCACCCCCCCAGCACGACCGCCCCCC